ATCACACTGGAACCGAGAACCCGAAGAGAGATTTCAGCTTCGGGTTCTCGGTTCCAGTGTGATTATTTGGGAGTTTCCTGACAAATACGGGGCACCTTATTTTGGAGTACTTATAGTAAGGATCCTACTATTGAGGGTACTATCTTAGGGTCAATCAGGGTCCCCTCTTTTCGGAGACCCCCATGTCGTTTAAGGTTTTAGTGTCCCTGGCATGCACGCCATCTAAGTGCTGGGCCTTGGCTCAAACACGCGGGATCTTTTGTTCACGGTTTTGTTCCGAGGGAAGCTTCTGGAAATGGTAGGGTTTAGGGTTTAGGGTTTAGGGTTTAGGTTTGCAGTGAAGCATTCAGGGACACTTGGTTTGCAACACGTCCGGGACCTCTATGATTTCGTGCATCCAAGGCCCTAAACACCAAACACAGAGTCAAACTCTAACCTGGGCCATAATGTAGGGGCCTTAATAAGTAGAATAGGGTTTGGGGTATAATATACTATAGCTATAACAAGGAACCCCCCAAAACCCTGTTCGAATTATTGAGGCCTCTACAGTACGCGAAACTTGAAACTCCAACTCTAGCCCCCGAACCCGAGGCCCAAGCAGACAGAACTCTACCCTCCGATCTAAGCCCGCCCCCATCCCTCCCCCAATGCTCACCCACCTTCAACAAGAAGCCTCAACCCCCAAGCCCGAATTTGGGGGCCTTAATAATCAGAATAGGGTTTTGGGGTAAATTATACTATATCTATAACAAGGAACCCACCAAAAAAAAAAATACCATTGGTAATTATTTCAGGCCCCTATAGTACACCCATGAAACGAAGTTTGCCCCAGAGTCGAGTCCAGGACATCCTGGAGCTTCAGCTCGGTGTGCTCCCCGAGGAATTGGAGCCAGCTGGCGATGTCGTGGCCCCCTTCGTAGGAGATCCTTGGTTAGGGTTTGGGGTTTAGGGTTTAGGGTTTGGGGTTTGGGGTTTGGGGTTTAGGGTTTAGGGTCTAGGGTGTAGGCCTTAGGGCTTAGGGCTTAGGGTTCAGGGTTTAGGGTTTAGGGTTTAGGGTTTAGCATAGGAAAGGTACAATAGGAACCCTCGGGAATAGCATCGGTAGCTATACGTACTTAACTCTATAGTGTGTGCTGTTGTGTTTCGGGGTCAAGGGTTGGGGAATGGCTGGGGAAGAGGTGGAGACCCAGAGACTCCAATACCCCTTAATTAAGGAATACACCTTAAATCATATTAGGGATCCTACTATACTTTGAGGTATATAGCTTAATTAAGGAATATACCTTAAATCATATTAAGGATCCTACTATACTTTAAGGTATATAGCTTATCTAAGGGATATTGGAGTCTCTGGAGACGGTCTGTGGCTGTTTCTTGATTGTGTGTTGCCCTGGTCGGGCCCTTCTTCTTTTAGGGCTTAAGGTTTGGGTTTAGGGTTTAGGGTTTAGGGTTTAGGGTTTAGGGTTTAGGGTTTAGGGTTTAGGGTTTAGGGTTTAGGGTTTAGTTTAGGGCTTACTACTACCCCGACGAGGACGAGTAGAGTACTAGCAATAAAAGTATATAATAGCAGCACTTATAATCCTAACACTAGGGTTGGTGGAGGCAATTGATGGTATCTGACAGTAATGCCATTGATATTCTTAGCAGTAGCACAAGTAACATCACCACCCCGAATTAGAGCATCACTGCTCGTAGTTCCACCCTCAATCAACACATAGGCAAAAGAAGGCATCTGCCGCGTTTAGAGATGCACCTCGAAGGTTCCTTGGTGCTTAGGATACCTTCTTAGCCCCAAACCCTAAACCCTAAGCCTTGGGTACTGCCCCCATACAGTAACAGTCTATAGTAGGGCTACTATTAAGGGCCTAATATATCCATAATATAAATCTTATCTAACTGTTACTGAGTCGGGGCAGTACCCAACCTAAACCTTAAGTCGGGGGGTTACGGTCTGTAAGTAGCACCCTAAACCCTAAACCCTAAACCCTAAACCGTTCGCAGGCCCAATTCTGAGGAGTTACATGACTTCGGGGAGGCCGGGGTCTTCGGCGCGCTAGGAGAAGTCCGAGATCCCAAACCCGGAGAGCCTTACAATCCTAACCCGAAGGCCCCAAGCCCACAGCCCAAAGCCTGAAACCCTGCATTCTTGAAGATCCCCATAGCTGAAGGTGGGCCTAGCTGAGGCGTTAGGATTGAAAGATGAGGGAACTTTCCGGTGTAAAAAAACAGTTTTGGGCTCCAAGTAGACGGTGCTGCATCCCAAACACCAACCCACGCCGAGCAGCACTACCGGCTTGTCGTTTGAGTGATCCAAGCCGTCGTCTTCCGGCAGCTTCTTGACCAGGAGCTTGATCACCGGGATGTGCCTCTCTGGGAAATACTTCTTGTCCACATCGTTCTCGTCGATGTTCATGACCTCGGGATGCTTCTAAACGCGAAGGCCCTAATCCTACAGAACACGATTCCCAACGAGCCCTGGAAAGCCCCTCAGCCTTGAGCCGAGTCCCCTAAACCCAATGCCTTCCAACCCTTACACTCTAACACTTAGGCTTGCTCTCTAGATGCTGCTATCCTCGCCTGCCTCCCCAAACCGGCTTAAAACACCATTGTAAGGGTCTTTGATGATGAGAACAGGGCTTTAGAGGGTTTCTGATAGTTTGTTCAGAAATATTGCGCAAGAAGACGCTATCATTGCAAATTTTCAGACGATGTTACTTCCATAACGCGGAAGCCGTGAAAACACATATCCTCCATGCCACCGCCGAAGTTAAATTTCTGAGGATCGAGGCGCAATTCCTGGACCACGGCATTCCGAGATCCCAGTTCCTAACCCCTAAACCCAGGTCTCCCTTTCGAAATCCCCTTTGGGGTTTAGGGTTTTTGCTGTGACACCTTTTGCCAGCTGCACGGTACATGCTCACAGGCGGCACGCAGTTTGGCACCCTCTCATTCTAGGGTTTACGGTTGCACTGAGTTCTAAACCAATCCCCCGCTGCCTGTAGACCCTAAATCCTAAACCCTGAAACCCTGCAAAATGTCTACGCCTCGGAATTCGGATCTCCAAGGGACCCCCACGGTGACCTCCTTGGAGGACTTCAGCAGCTTGGCCAAGGCAAACCAAGCCTCGCAACCGAATCTCTGCTCGACAGGGTCTTTAATGGCTTAGGGTTTAGGGGCTTAGTGGTTTAGAGTTTAGTGGTTTAGGGCTCAGGGTTTAGCGATTTAGGGTTTAGGGTTTAGGGTTTTGTTTGTGCTTTTTGGTGCCTTGTTGCACAGTGAACCTAAGGCTAAGGACTTTTGGGAGCTGCGGGAATTTATGGCTCAGGATTTGGGGAGTTTGGGGGGCTGCGCATATGCAGCACTAAACTGGCCCAAATGGGTTTCCACAAAGCTTTAGTATAAGTATAATGGGGTCAAGGGACACTATCTCGACCCTAAACCCTAAACCCCTAAACCCAAAGCCCACAACCCCAAACCCCTATACCCTAAACCCTAAATCCCTAAACCCCTGAACCCTAAACCCTAAACCCCTAAACCCTAAACTCCTAAACCCCTAAACCTCCAAACCCCTGAACCCCTAAACCCTAAACCCTAAATCCCTAAACCCCTGAACCCTAAACCCTAAATCCCTAAACCCCAAAACCCTAATCCCTAAACCCCAAATATCCCTAAGCCCCTAAACCCTAAACCCTAAACC